GCCGGTGAGATTAGAACCGCTGAACTGCAGATAACAGTCAGCTGAAGTGGCCTGCAGTACTGCACCCTAACCACTGCGCCACCTCGGCTCTCAATAAAATGATGAAGGGAAATGATTCAGACAGTGCAAGTTACCATAAGCTAAGAATTGACATATGGTAATTTGTAGAAGGGACAAGTGGACTTGTCACCTACAAGGACAGCAGTTTTAAGAATGAATGCTTCCTCTGTGCTACTGTAAACGCGGGGAAATGGCATTAGGGTTGATTTTACCAGCTTGGTGGTAGTGGGAGAGAGGAAAAAAAACTAAATATGGGGCAGCAATGCCTTGTACAATGTTATGCATGCTTGGTGTGAGATCTAGGTGGCAGAGATGGCTACTACTCTTGGGAAGGTCAAAAGCAGTGGGGTGACCAATACATTAACAAGCAGAGTGTTTTGAAATGCAACTAGCGATCGCTGGTGGAGAGGATTAATAGGATGGCATCAGGTGTGGAGAGAACCTCTCCCTGCCATGCTCCAGCTGTTGGGAAATCTATAATCTCCCCTCTCCCCAGCAGGTGTCAATAGAGGATTTCTTCCCAATGACCAGGGCTTCAGAGGAAAGGTTTTCCTCAAGTTTGTAGGAAAAGCACAATAAGTTCTCCTGTGCCTGCTAGCTAAAAGTTTCCCGATTAATGCCATTTGCATCTGGAAACCAAGCAGGTAAAATATCAGATTTGATGCCATGTCACATTTGGTCCGAACTTCCTTACCAGAGTTAAAATTCTGTTTTTAAACTCACCCGCTTTCAGATTCCTTTTCATTTCATTTTCTCTTAGTAAGATGCCATCAATGGGTGCTCCCCTTTAGCTGAACTGGATTTTTCCTTTCTGACAAGTAAATCTTTTTTACCCAGGACGCACACTCAGTAGGATGAATCTGTCAGGAGAGCAAGCATTCCCATTTGATGGCTCAGTGATTCATTTGGTGTTGTAGCTAGATGCAATGATTCTACCCCCTTTTTTTTATATATTAGCTGGCAGCTTCCCTTCAACTGATTCACCGGAGTGACTAGAATTGCTTTTGTCTGCTCTCTGCTGAAGAAAAGCGTTGTCTCCAGTAAAATACATTTCTGATATCTTTCCACCTAAGCGTAAACAATATTTATATGAGTCAGTATGTCTGTAATTTATTTATCCATTAAATTACACAATCTGTATTAAGATTCACAATCATACACCGTGGGACATTGCAAATCCTTTGGGACCCCTCC